CCAATATGAGCCAGCACTCCACGTTCTTCTTTTGATTGCCAGCACGATGGAACATTTAAGGAGGAATTGACGTATGTTTCATCGAGGTAAACAATGGATCTCTTGTCTCTTCGATTTTTTTGTATCACATTCAGATATTTCCATCGCCAAGAAACAATGTTTGGTTGTTCAATAAGCAGCTTTCTCTTCGACTGAATTTTTTTAAATTTAAAGCCAAGTTTGTGCAGTAATAGTCTCAAATATTCTCGACCGCAATTTAAAATTCCTTCTTCTTTAAGTTTAGCATTTATTGTTTTTAATGTGGGAACCCTCTTGTAAATAGTGTAAAATTGAGTTATTTTTCGTCTCACTACTCCTTCAGTAAAATTATCTATTTCAATCTTTTTCTTTCGTACCTGTTTTGTTTTTTTGGGGGATTTAAAAACCACTCTATTTTGTTCGCGTTTTAGATCATTTCCTTCTTTGACAATTATACTCATAGACGTTAAAGATATTCTCTTGCTTGCGCGACTAATTTATTCAAGTTTACGTCACGGTAATATTATCTATACAGTATTGTAACTCGGCCGTATCTTTGAAATATATGTCTACAGCCGCGCGGTACGTAAACATGCGATAGGGCTGCCTGCCTCCAGCATTTCAATTATTTAGCCTGTTTCTATTTAGTTTTATGATTGTAAATATACTTTTTTATATAAACAAATAAAATAGGTACTTTGTGAATTGAATAGGAAGTGTTCAATAAAAATGCGTGTCGTTTATTGATATGATGGTAGATTTAATTAAAAAACCATGTTTGTTTGAATAACAAATCGGTCTTATAAATTTGCGACAGAAAAATATTTGCGCCTCGGCTGAGACGTACGAAATGCTTTATTATTAAAATTTTAAGTATAAAAATCCGCGTTCTAATATAAAGCTTAATTAAAAATTGTTTTGGGAAACATGGACAAGGTGGAGAAAAGGAATATTTTTACTTGGTTATAGATACCTGCAGCTATTTTACAATTTATATGTTTGGTTTTAAATGAAGTTCGGATTTATTATTTCTATTCTATTATTTATTTCTTCCATTTTTATATATATATTCCACAAAATCATCACTGCGGCAGTCACGACTCTGCATGCCGAGCGCATGCCAAGATCGAGGCGCGTAGGTATAGCTCTCGCTTCGTCCGTTTGTGTGGAGTTGGAATACTGTATAGATAATATTACCGTGTTTACGTCTTGTTGATATTCTGTAGACGATTGATCTTGTTTTCTTAGTTTAAAGAAAGAATGTACATTGTACACCAATTGTTTAGCTTGCTTGTCAATTTGCTTGGCAAAAATCTTAGAGCGTCCATCTTCAGCATTCATCTTGGGTTATAATCTCGTGTGCGTTTTGTTCCGAGCGTCCGTAACCAATTAACCCACTGCCCGCTGCGAAAGCCGCGAGCATAGAGTAAAGTAACATATACAGAAATAGAGAGCCATCTCCTAGAATTTTTTGTCACCCAATATGAATAGTGTCGCCGTCTGGTATCATATCCCTTGAACTAATCTCAATATCATGTTGACTATAGATAGCTGTATGTAGTTATGTATATTGTATATGCAGCTATCTATACTATAGGCGGTTATATTTCTATATTAAGGGATTAAGGTTCAATTAAAAACGTATTATAGATTTCAGTAATATTAACATTTATTTTTGTTATATATATTTTGTTATATATATTTAACACACACGATGTAAAAGCGTCTATTCCGCAAAATGCAACACCAAACCAAATTAAATATATCCACCGGGTTACCGGAATGATAAATGAAAGCGTCTATTTCGCACAACACTACACAAACATACAATGTGATTCCAGCATGAAAATCTAAACAGACAACAAGAAACAGAGGAGTAACCCCGACTCAACAAAACTTAATGTAGCAACAACCGAAAATCATTTATAAACTACGAGGGTGGATTGAAAAGTACTCGGCCTAACCAAGAAAATAAACACATACTAAATCAGTTATATTTTTATTTTTCTACATAATCACCATCAAGTTCAATACACTTTTGCCACCTCCCCTTCCAAGCATTTAGACCGTTGAAAAAAAATGATTCTTCCTTAGAGTCAAAATATGCGTCTACAGCTGCTTTGATCTCCCAAGTGCTTTTTTAGGTTAGGGAACAGAAAGAAGTCTGATGGTGCCAGATCAGGTGAATACGGCGGATGCGGTAACAGTTCAAAGCCACAGTTGTGAATTTCAGCCATTGACTGTACTGACGTGTGAACACGGGCGTTATCTTGATGAAACAGGACTTTTCTTCTGAGCATTCCTCGACGTTTTTCTTTTATTTCCTCTCGTAAACGACGTAGTAAGGTGCAGTAGTAATCAGAGTTTATAGTCTGACCCCTTTCAAGATAATCAATCATAATCACACCTTTCGAGTCCCAGAATACTGAAGCCATCACCTTATTTGCCGACAAAATCGACTTAGCCTTTTTAGGGGGTGGTGAACCAGGTCTTCTCCACTGTTTTGATTGTTGTTTTGTTTCCGGTGTACAGTAATGAACCCATGTTTCGTCCATAGTAACAAAACGATTCAAAAAATCATCTACATCGGCTTCAAATAACTCCAAATAGTCGCGTGAAATAGTCAATCGCGTCCTTTTTTTGTTCAACTGAAAGCAGTCGCGGAACCCACCTCGCAGACACCTTGTGGAAACCCAACTCGTTGACAATGATGTTTTGAGTTCGTTCATAAGAGATGCTTATAATCTCGGCTATCTCTCTAATTTTTAATCTGCGGTCTCCCATTATTAAATCAAGTACTTTTTTAATATTTTCGTCAGTAGTTGACGTCGAAGGCCTTCCAGAGCGGGGTTCATCTTTCACACTCTCTCTACCACGCTTAAATTCTGCTATCCATTTTTTGACGGATGAATATGACAGAGCACAATCGCCTAATGTACTGACCATGTCATCATGGATGGCTTTTGATGATAGCCCCTTCTTATGGAGGTACTTAATGACGGCACGCTGCTCGATTTGCTCCATTCGCGGAAATTATATCCGATTACTTTGTTAATAAATTTATAAAATCACAACTAATTATCGCACACGTTTCGAACTTCACACAATGAACTAGTCTGAACTGAACTAAATAATGTGGGTAGATTTGATTTTTAGAATTGAATGGATCTGTGTTAGGCCGAGTACTTTTCAATCCACCCTCGTATAATAAAACAACAACTTGTTCAGACGTCGGTAGCCATAATGATATGTTATATAAAGTTGCTACCTGCCAGTTCGAGAATAACCAGAATTGGTGTAGTCGCCATCTAGCGCACCTTTTAGAATTTAATGTTCGAAAGTTTATGCGGATATAGTAAAAGATGGCACTAGTGTCTTTGCAAATTATTGAACCCAACCTAAAGTATGGAAGTGTGGCCCCTGACACCCTTATCTGGCCGCGAGCGCACTGAAAAATGTCACTCAAGCTCCCTGCCGCGTGCCCCCCGCACTTCACCTCGAAACTCCCTAAAATCCCTCCGCACCCACCAACTTCTTGCTCCGCGGGCGATCCGCCAGTTGTGCGGATTATTATAATGCGGTCGGGCTGCGCGTGTGAGCGAAAAAATGCAAGTTGCAACTCTTTACGGCGGCGCGCCGGCGCGGCGCTCATATCTACTACGAGGGGTGTTCTGAGGAATTTTTCGGATTAGTTGCAGCCGCCAAATTTCACGAACCAAAACGTCAAAATTTACGATACTATCCTCACCATCTGGATGCTTGGTGCGTTTTACAAGGGGTTTTCTTTCGGCGTTTTTTACAACCGGCGACTTTTCCGGACCGATACGACTTAGGGTCCTTCAAGAAAAGAGCTTACACCTTTCGAAAATGCTGGCAACGCACTACTTCCCTTGGTGTTGCGGTTATTCATGTTCATGGGCGGCGGTACGGTAGTCACTTACCATCAGATGAGCCGCACGCTCGATTGTCCCGTCTTCTATAAAAAAAATGAGTAAATACTCCATATTTTGCTTGTATTGTCAAATGAGGATAAATAAAAGTATTATCTACATATTTCTTTATCTGATTTTCTTTATTGTGTTACAAAGAACACTAGATTTATTTTAACTTAGGTACCTCTTACAAATTACTTAATCTAAATAATTTTATTTATTGTTTCTGTTTTTCAATCATTTATTATTCCTTTTAATAATGAGATAATTTCAAAAAAAAAGTGGCCCACAATTTGTAAACACCAGAAACAAAAATAATTTAGTGATACCAGCTCCACATCAATTATTTCGTGGAGCAATGCACACTTACTATGTTTACACTATTACAACAAATTCTCAGAAAATATACGAGTTATGTATTACCATGTTTAAACATTTTATTGAACAAAAACTTTATAAAAAGGGTTATTATGATATAAATGAATACACGGTTAATAATAACCTCTGAGAATGAGGTGGTTGTTTCCAAGCTGTATCTAAAATAATTTTTGTAGTTTGTACAACCTTTCATATTGTAGATTTAATTTTTTTTTAAGTCCTGCTAGATTTCTTGTTGGTTCTTCCCAGGACAGGCTGTTTTGCGAATGGTTGATTTTAAAGTATTAAAATGACTCAATAAGAGTTGTGTACTAGTAATCTATATTGAATAAAAATTATTCTATTCTAAATCTACATATCAAATTTTTTTAGATACTCTATTAGGGATTGATTATTGCTGGTATTTCTCAAGTACACAGTACAGTATAAATAACCATATTTATTACCTTGTTGTAAACACTATTGTTTAAATAATATAAGTGGATCCAAACTAAAATTTTACATGTGACGCGCGCCCAGAGATCTGCTTTTTGTAATATTTTCTTTGTAGGGTGCTTACTCATGTGATACTATTATATATTTGTCTTGTTGATTAAGGTATTCATTAAATGTAATAAGCTTCTTTTATTCTTAGGGCACGTTAATTAAACATGGATTGGTTTTTCTTTTCAGGCACCAGTCCTTCGCCCAATTAAAGTAACTGGTATTAAATGTGCATCAAGTAAGTAAACTTTTTATTACAAATATACATTTACATGTACATTATACCTAAATTTTTAACATCCATTTCGCATCATTATTAAAAAATAGCTATTGAAATATATTTTACTATTATTCGGTGCATTGTTCACTTAATGTTAAGTGGGAAATGCAGTCCAAAAGAAAGCTTCAAATGTGTAATCGTAAGTGTTATGACTTGTTCTAATGTGTTATGGCGTGTTTCTTACTCGCAGCATTCCAAGGCGTAATAGGTAGGTACGATACGATACGATACGACGGTATTAGCGTTAAACCTTGTAGTATATATTAACTGCGAATTGACTACCTGCTAACATAAACGTATTTACGACCGCTAGGCCAACGTGCCAGTAAAACTTAGCAGTCGCATTTACAACCGCTATAATTATTATATGGTCCTGAGATCAAATCCCGGGTCTGGCCTAAAATCAATTAGCATACTATTATTGTCTCGCGTGAGTGATTCGATACATCTGAGGAAAATACATTTATGAGCAGTCTTATTTGTAATCATACTGATTGCAGACTACAGTGAATATTGTCATCGGGCACTGTTAGTTTGTAGTTTTGTTTTATCGACCTATGTATAACGTCGCTCTCGAAAGAAATTTCAAAACAATTAGCCCGTTGACAACTATCGTAGTATTTTGTAAATATTATTTATATTTTGTACAATTTGGCGCCACAAAAATCATGAACTTCCTTACCGAGGTCACATTGAAACCAAAAATTCTAAAATTTACTAAAATTCAAACAACAATTAATTCTATATTTTGCGATTTCAAAAAGTTTGTCCCAAAGCCAAGGAGAATAACCGAATAAAAAATACGGATGCCTGTAACGACGTTTTTGAGATTTCCGAGCTTTTTGATTTTGATGCGGTTTGCGGCAATCGACGCAGTTTTATGAGCTTAACAAAAACATTTATTACAAAAAAAATTCAAATTATTTTGAAAAAACACTTAGATTTCTTTCGGCAACGATATCTCTCGAACGAATTAACCAATTTTGATGCGGTTCACGGCAATCTGCGTCGATTTTCTTGAGTAGAAGAGCAGATTAGATTATAGAATTGAACAAAACAAGGGTGTCGAAGTAATTCCAAAATAAAGAATTTTTGAGATTTTCTCAGAATCTACCGTGCCGATTCGGTCTAAATTCACATAATATCTAAGTTCAGCGAGGCCTTTTCAGATCCTGGAACCGCTTTTCGATCGGACACTCCGTTACAAAGTTATGAGATGTGTATGTAAACATCTCACACATGCACATGCAGACATACGGATATCATCGAAAAAATAGCCAGAATAGATTCCTAGGATCTCGAAACGTCGCGATCTGATGAGAATTGAGAACCCTATTTTCAAAAACCGGGGTGAAAACAATAAATTACTGATTTTTGAAAATCATTGATTTTCATAGCGGGAAGTTAAAAATGAGATTGTAAATTCATCTAGTGGCATAGTTTTGTGTTTTTGATGTGTCATCTAACTGTGGTCAAAATCAGTCCTATATCTAATGATGAACTTTAATGAGACTTCCCGCGAGTTAGTACTAAGAAATACATAACAAGTGGGCACAATCTTCACATACCATAATTACTATATAGGATATAATTTACTCAGGTCAACATGAAATAGAAAAAGTTTGGCTTATCCGTTATATCAAGATGCAGGAATTAAATCAAACACAAAAAATTCCGTATATATTGTTTTGCGAAGTGTAGATTAATTTATGAAACCATTAAGTAAAGTAATCAGATTATTTGCATTCTTTTTTATATAGAAAAAAGGGTGACAAACATGCACGGTACACTTGATGGTAAATGGATACTGTGGCTCATTAACAATCTACACTTACCCTCGAATAACAGTGGTAGAGCCACGCGGCAGCTTTGCTGTTGCACGTATAGGCCGGCTCAAACCGGGGTGGTACCACGACCTCACAGAATACCGGCGTGAAGTGGAAGCTCTGCTTCCGCGTTTCGTCTGGTGAGTGCAGGTGGCCGGAGGCCCAAATCCTCCCCCCTCCCATCAACATGGTAGCGGAATTAAATGATGATAGACTACCCCAGGAGGGTACCAGCACCCCTGGAGAATCCCTCGCTGAGCATCCACGACCATGCTTCTCCACTTCTGAGCGTGGGTGCTCAGGCTGCCCCGCGTATTCTGGAGGGGGGGCAAAATTCCGCTCAAGACTACAACTGCTCGGGGCAAACGGAGCAACAAAACCAAGGCGACCCCTGCCACGCTGTCCGTGAATTTCTGCAATATCAGGGGACTTCACTCTAACCTAAACGCCGTCCACTACCATCTCGAGACGGCGAGGCCGGCTCTGCTCTTTCTGACCGAGACGTAGGTGTCCTCTCCGGCTGATGTCCCGTATCTCTCCTACCCGGGGTACAAACTGGAACACTCCTTTGTGCCTCGGGCTGGAGTTTGCGTTTACGTCAGAGAGGACATCTGTTCTCGACGCCTCGGCAAACTTAAGGTTCGGACCTGTCCATCCTTTGGCTACGCGTAGACAGCGACGACCATGCGCGCGTCTACGAGTGCCTCTATAGGTCCCATAGGGGTAATGCCGAAAAAGACCGACTCTTCGACCACGTCCAAATGGCTACAGATTCGTTGCTACAGCAGATCCCCTCCGCAGAGATCGTGATCCTCGGCGACTTTAACGCCCATCACGCCGAATAGCTTAGTTCACGTTTAACCGATCATGCGGGGAGATCTGTTCATGATTTTGCCTTGGCATATGGTCTGACACAACTGGTTACTTCGCCTACGCGGATTCCAGATGTGGAGGATCATGCACCTTCCCTGTTGGACCTTCTGCTAACCTCTCACCCGGACGGGTATCAGATTTGCGTCGACGCCCCTTTAGGCTCCTCGGACCATTGTCTTGTTCGGAGTGTGGTGCCACTCACGCTGAAATTGCAGTTGCATTCTGCAGGCTGCCGCCGTGTTTGGCACTATAGGTCAGCCGATTGGGATGGGATGCGGTCTTTCTTTGCATCCTACCCTTGGGGGCGGGTTTGCTTCTCGCCGGAAGATCCCAACGTTGTTGCGGATTCTGTCGCTGATGTGGTACTTCAGGGTATGGAACTTTTTATTCCTTCCTCTGTGGTGCCCATTGGAGGCAAATCTCAGCCATGGTTTGGTCGCTCCTATAAAATAGCATCATGCTATAAACAGGAGTGCTACCAAGCCTGTGCTGACGCATCAGCGTCCCGGGATGTAAACACCAGCGCTCTAACAAAGAAGTATAATTCCGCCTCGGTCCTTCAAAAGAGTCATTGCCAAGGCAAAGTCAGAGCACATAGGCAGAATTGGCGAGAAACTAGTTCGCCTTCCTTCTGGAACCCGTGCATCTCTGGTCTCTCGCCGAGGCTGTCCAGGGGAATTTCTGTGAGCCAACTCTTCCATCTCTGCACAGGGAGGACGACCCACTGGCCCATACCGCAAAGGAGAAAGCCGATCTTCTAGGCTCTTTCTTTGCGTCCAACTCGACTCTCGATGACGGGGGGAGTACGCCGCCGACCATCCCGCGGTGTGAGTGCTCCATGCCGGAAGTGCAGTTCACACAGCGCTCGGTTCGCAAAGGACTCCTCTCCCTGGACATCCACAAGTCGAGTGGGCCTGACGGAATCCCCCCCAATTGTGCTGAGGACGTGTGCTCCAGAGTTGGCACCGGTTTTAACGCGTCTTTTCCGGTACTCCTACTCTCTAGGCGTGGTCCCAAAATCATGGAAGACGGCTTTCGTCCACCCGATCCCTAAAAAAGGCGACCGCTCAGACCCGTCCAACTACCGGCCTATCGCCATCACCTCCTTGTTCTCAAAAACAATGGAGTCCATTGTAAACTGCCAGCTCATGAGGTACCTTGAAGATCACCAGCTGATTAGTGACCGCCAATACGGTTTTCGCCGTGGTCGGTCAGCTGGTGATCTTCTGGTCTATTTAACTCACAGATGGGCGGAGGCAGTAGAGTCCAAGGGGGAGGGATTGGCCGTTAGTTTGGACATTGCGAAGGCCTTCGATCGGGTTTGGCACAAAGCGCTTCTTTCGAAGCTCCCTTCCTATGGGCTTCCCGAGAAATTGTGCGACTGGATCACCAGCTTTCTTGCAGATCGGGGCATCAAGGTCGTTGTAGACGGTGCAAGCTCCGATTGCAAGCCTATTAATGCTGGTCTTCAACAAGGCTGCGTGCTATCGCCAACGCTGTTTCTTCTGCATATCAATGATATGTTGCAAACCCGTAACATTCATTGCTATGCGGATGACAGCACTGGTGATGCTCTTTACACCGGCCGAGCCAATATTTCTCGAGAAAACGTCTCCGAGTGCCGGGACAAACTTGTGTCTGAAGTCGAGTCTTTGCTGAACAGAGTCTCGGATTGGGGGCGACAATTTCCCCCAGAAGACACAAGTTTGCGCGTTAACCGCTAAAAAGAACCCCCTTTGTCGTATCTCCTCAGTTTCAAGGCACTCCCCTTGTTGCCTCAGCCAGTATCGGAATCCTCGGCGTCGACATATCGAGTGAGTGCAGTTTCGTGGTCACTTGGAAGAGAAGACCAAATTCCATCAAAATCAAAAACCTCTAAAAAGCTTGGCGTGCTCAGCAGAGCGGGACAGTATGTCATGCCGGCACACCGCCTGCAACTTTACAAGGCGCAGGTTCGGCCGCACATGGAATACTGTTCCCATCTCTGGGCTGGGGCTCCCCAGTACCAGCTCCTACCACTTGACCGCATCCAGCGCAGAGCGGCTCGAATCGTCGACGACCGAGTGCTTTCCGATCGGCTCGATTCACTGGCGCTGCGAAGAGATGTTGCATCTCTTTGCGTATTTTTATCGCATCTACCACGGGGAGTGCTCTGAGGAATTGTTCGGATTAATCCCAGCCGCCAAATTTCGTAAACGCACTACGCGGCAAACGTCCCGATACCATCCACACCATCTGGATGCTTGGCGGTCCACCACTGTACATTTCAAGAGGAGTTTTCTTCCGCGTACAACCTCTCTGTGGAATAGTTTACCACCAGCGATTTTTCCGGACCGATACGACCTGGGGACCTTCAAGAAAAGAGCGTACTCCTTTCTAAAGGGCTGGCAACGCACCTGCAATTCCCCTGGTGTTGCGGTTGATCATGGGTGGCGGTAGTCACTTAACATCAGGTGAGCCGCAGGCTCGTTTACCCCCTCTTCTATAAAAAAAAAATAAGAATCAAAAAGCAGATGTGTTATCATCCTTGAAGACTAAGAGGGAATGCCTTGTTTCCAGTAAGAAGGGTCTACGGTTTTCTACACTCACCATATGATACAACAGCCTTAGGCTGCTATTTTACACTGGTATTCTGTGAGAGCATGGTTCAAGTAGACCCATTCACGCTATAAATAATATAGCTGCAGTGTGACTACCGTGTATAAAAATGTTGCAATTTTTACAAAACATTTCAATTTATTTAAATGAAATATGTTACCGGCTATTTGATTTTTTGAAATTTGTCACTTAACATATAATTTTTTATTTCAGAATTGGTGCAAGTACCTGTTGAAGCATTAGCTCAATTGCAGAAAGTAGAACCCAAAGTAGAACAAGAAGTTAAGCCACAGGTATTTGTTAAATTGTGCTACTTAACTCTACGTCTGATTTTATGACACATACAGAATGAGATGGAATGATGGACTTAATTCCAAACTAATATAAGATTGCTCAATTGTTATGGTGTGGGCAATGCAAGATTCTCTGTATCATAAAATCCATAAGGTAGTAGTAACCTGAAGTATGTGGTAACAGCTCGAAAAACCTGTATAGCCTGTGGTGAAAAAGTTATTAAGGTAATGTTATGTCAAGCTCAGTTTAAAACAACCCTCACTAGATGAAATGTTGACCTGATTAGATGTTTAGAGAGGAGATGGATGCAATTGACGATCCTGATCATTGTTTGACATAGACCTATGTTCAGCTGTGGACTTATGATAGATTGCAATGATGAAGAAGCAGTTGTTATTGCTGTTATGGATGTATAAGAAAATGAAATAGTTCAAAGTAATTGTTGATTTTGTTCATATGCTTTTGAATTAGTCAGGACCATACTGTGTGGTAGTAATGGCGATATGTAGTAGTGGACTAGTCATGGGCTGCAATGATGATCTTCATCACTTCTCAGCTTGTCAATGTCCATTGCGGGGGACATTTACGTGGTAGAGCCATGCTGCAGCTATATTAATTGTATAATTGCAGACCGGGGAAGGACCACGCTTTCACAGAATACCAGCGTCAAATAGCAGCTTAATGCTGCTGTGTTTCGTATGGTGAGTGTAGAGAACCGGAGGCCCTTTTTACTGGGAAAGAGGCATTCCATCTTAGTCCTCAAGGCTGACAGCGCATCCGCATTTTGTTTCGCAAATGAGGATGGATGTAGATGTCTATGGGCCACAGCAACCACTTACCATCAGGTGGACTGTGTGCTTGCTTGTCACCCATTTCCTATATAAAATAAACATAGGCCCTCTTCCATTGTACAATGAAAGAATCAAAAGAGAAAATTGATAATAATGATAGTAGATAAGTTTTGAATTGTTTATTACTGTAATATGAAATTAACAGAACTATTATGAAGAGCTCTCTCTTATGTGTTTTCTAGGAACCTGTTCAGGAACAAATATCAGATTACCATATTATACAGTCGGTGCCAAAGCTTGTGCCTATTCTGCCCAAACCTGAAACTCCTTTAAAAAAACTCAAAAATTCTAGTGAGTTATCTCCGACAATGTCACATGCATCTAGAAGGAGACATGATTCTGATAATGATCCACCTGCAGAATAGTAAGTTGTTTATTAATGTTTTCTTGGCCTTTTATGTGGCTTTGTGTTCATCATGTTCTTTTTACATTATTGAACAGCAGCAGCAAGATACCCTTTCGGGTGTCAAGAACTTTACTTATATGAGCTGAAGTAACAGCTTGCCTTTGTTAGACTGTTGTCACAGTTTAACCTCTCAACTGCGGATGTCCAAGACTTGGACACAAAAATATCTCCGTTGACTTCGGGCGTCCAAGTGTTAGACATTTTTACCCGCTCTTTTAATGAAGAAACAAAGCATTATGCGCTATTTCTAACTCATTCTACCATATGTCAATGTGTACAGGATAAAAAAGGCTAGCATAAAAATCCCACAGCTTATACACTTTAGTAGTATATTTTATTTAAATCATTCTTAAATGTCGTCCGTTCCTTGAGTCAGCCATTAGTGTGATTGACGCGCGCTAACAACGAAGTTGTTTGTAATTATTTTGTATTAATTTATATTTATTGTGTGGTGAATTGTGTTAAAACAATGCCTGGGTAAGTAATCTTCTTATTTGTAATCTCATTTTGTGTTTTATCTTATTAAGTACGTGTAAAATCGTTTTTTAATATGTATGAAGCAAACTGCTATCTCAAAACTAACATGCTCGTTGAGGAAAGTTGACTTGAAATGTACGTAAAATTTTAGTGTTGACTGTCAGTTTTGTGTTAAAATATGTATAATTGTTCATCGTTCACAGTTTTAGTACATCAAAATGTGGATAAAGTGCAATATTTTCAAAATTTTAATGTATATACGCAATAGGTGCAATAGTGTCCATTTTTGAGACGTCCGTAGAAGTGAATTCTAGTTCTCTGTTTTGCGGGTGGCGAAAAAAGGAACTAAAGTTTCCCATACTGCATCAAGTTCAAATTCGGTTGAATGGTTAGAATGGTAAAGAATCTAGCGCCCTCGAGCAGAGAAATGGAGCTTGGTTGACTCCACGATTATTCGATGATTTATAAAAAATTGAATGTGGCATTTGCACAAGACTTCGGAATGTTTTAAACAATTTATTAAAACAGAAAGTTAGATAGTATTTACATAATATGCTTTTTAATATTTTTATTTTAATATTTTTTAATATTTAATATTTGAAATTTTTATTTTTTTAATTTAATATGAACAGGTTGTGGTTTTTAAGGTCACCTCAGACACATATTTCTTATACTGGTTTTTTTAATGTATATTTTATCTGTATTTACTTTGCAAATCGTGTAACGTTGCGTTATGTTTCAACCTATAGCAAGATTGCTGCTACCTACAGTACCATTCGTAAATGAATAGTACTGTAGATATAGTAAATCCAACAAGTACCAGGAGCCTTTTAAAGAAATAAGTACCTATGTTATATATTTATTCAATTTTATACTTATGTCCATCCATCCATTTAGTATTTATTGTTGCCTAGCTATAATTTGTTCAGCTAATTATTTCAGACTATCATCGTCGAAATTGTTAAGTTAGTTAAGTTACACAGCCGATTTCCGTCCCACTGCTGGGCCTTCCCTCACTTCTGAAAGAGTTTTACGGCAAAGAAGTATCCACCGCGCTGCCCATGTGCGTGTTGGCGAACTGCACATGCCTTGGAAATATTTTTTTTTATTTCTCAGACAGTCAGACTTCCTCATGATGTTTTTCTTCACCGCCGAGCAAAGGTAAATCAGCACTTAAAATTGTAATTAATAATTTCATTGATGCCGGCGGGGATCGAACCCGGTGTGCTAGCGTACTCTGAAATTTAACGCGAGAGCTAACAATCTGAGCTACCAGGGCTCTCTCATCGTCGAAATTAATACTTAAGTTAGTTAAGTTACAGCCTTTTTACGCCCCACAGCTGGGCAAAGGCAAAGAAGTTTCCGTCGCGCTGCCCCAATGCGTGTTGGCAAACTTCACATGTCTTCGAAATATTTTTTTTTCTTATTTCACAGACGTGCAGGTTTCCTCACAATGTCTTTCTTCACCGCCGAGCACGTGGTAGATCAGCACTTAAAATTGCAATTAACAATTTCATTATTGCTAGCGGGGATCGAACCCGGCTTGCTAGCGTACTATGAAATTTACAGCGAGAGCTAACCATCTGAGCTACCACGGCTCTTCCGAGCCACCACGGCTCTCATCGTTGAAATGAATACACCTCTTTATTTTGTATGTTTTTTTTTTCTATAGGATAGGGTGACAAACGAGCACGCAGTCCACCTGTGGTGGTTTCTGCGGCCCATAGACATCTACATCTACCCTCGATTACAAATCAAAATGCAAAAATGCGTGTCACCCGTGAGGACTGAGATGGAACGCCTCGTTTCCAGCAAAAAGGCTCTCCGGTTCTCTACACTCACCATACGAAACACAGAAGCATTAAGCTATTATTTCACGCTGGTATTCTGTGAGAGCGTGGTTCTTCCCCGGTCGAGCCGGCCTATTCGTGCTACAACTATACTACTAATATAACCGCAGCATGGCTCTACCACGTATAAAAAATGTTTTAATGAACTAGTACATGATGCACAAAAAAAGTGCAGAATCGAACTTTAATTGTGGCATATTTTTGTATAATGCATAAGAAGTGGGTTCTTTAAAAATATACATAAATAATATTTTTTTTATTTCAGAAAGAGATATATTTATTTTAAATTTTATTATTTCGTAGCTATTGTTTGTGTTAAAGGAAATATGTTACCGTTTGGAGAAATAATGTTATTGGTTATTGGAAATGTAACATAACCTCTGCGCACCTCGCGGCGCCTCTGTCACTCGATACATATTATGGTGCATTGGGTATTATTTACAAACAACGTTATTTATAACTCTACATCAGCGGGAGTGACTCTTGAGTGGTTTTATGGTTTTTAAAGGAATGAATGAATCTTTATTTCTGTACAAGTGCTGTTAAAGTTTGTTTGCTCAAATAAAGTAATTAATTTTTCAATAAATATGGCACTTACGATTAAAATTTTGATATCGGCATTAAGAGTACTTATGAAATACTTTATCGGATTTCTAAAACTTAGCAAGACCTATTGAAAGATGACTGAATCATGTAAAGAAAAAAGAGAGATTCAAGACTGAATCATTGTAATGAAATAAAAAAAACTATTTTTATTGACTAAAGCATTACGCCGCATTATGCCGCATCTGGTCCTAACTACATGCTACATTGGTGTAAATTGATTGTGGGTTCTTGTAAGCTTATTATTAATGCGTTTTACGATAAAAAATTGTATTGTAGTCTATGATTTTGCACATAAAATATTGTAAACAATAGACGTAAGATTAAAATAAAATAAAATTGAACTATTAAAAAAACTTTGTGTCATTGAGAAATATGATAGTTTTGACTTTATTCTATGTTTAGTTATACTAACCACTTTAAACTTTATTAAATATATGTACTCGTTTATAGGAAATTTCATAGAGAATTCAGAAATGTATACATATTATAGTATTCGATATACCAAAATCAAGATATTTGCGTTTAAACTGATTGGGCCCAATCAGCCGTCCATTTCATTAAACAGCTCCGCAGTCAACGGAGAATTACGGTTAGAGTCTCCGCAGCTGAAAGGTTATAGACAGTCTAACAGTTGGAAAACGAATGTGCTTGTGTGGAGCAACGACGGTGGACCTTGAGCCGGCCTACTCCACTAATTTTGCAGTTCAATATACATGCTGTTGACGCGAGCGTGTTTTATAGTATTTATTTAATTAATTTTAAGTGCCGTTTTCAAAAATATATTATCTATAATGCTGAATTTCTATTACACATATATGAAGGTCACTTAGTAAAGTTGAATTCAAATGACGGCTATGGTTATGTTTTCCTCCTTTTTTATTACAAAAACAATTTTATATAGGAATAAATAAAATTTAACAATCAAAAACTGAAAAAATCTATAAAAAGAAAGTGTCACGAAAACATTTGACAGTGCAACACTAGCAACTTTTTTATAGTAATAAAAAATATCATATCATATATTCAATAAATGTTTTAACTTATAAATATGCACATAATGATAGTAAATGATAATAAGTATTATAATATCTAAAATTATTTTATTCCCAATTTCGTGACAACCCCTAATATACACGCCGCCCGTGTAAATACGCCGGCGGCGGCATCGCCTGACATCAAAGGCGTTTCACAACTGTTAGGCTATCTTCAAACTACGCTGTTGCTTATTTATTACTCATCAAAACTTACTTAATTACCTAAAATAAGCACATTTATTATTTTCCATTCTTATGTCTTACCTTCTTTACAGCACAACAAAAAGGCGTAAGCACGCCGATAAAGTGGGCAAAGGATTGCGACACTTCTCCATGAAAGTTTGTGAAAAAGTCAGAAATAAGGGTTTCACTTCATACAACGAAGTTGCTGACGAGTTAGTTCTAGAGTTTGCTGCTGGAATGCATGGCTCTGCAGATAGTCAAGTAAGTATTCATAAAATTAATCCAAAATCCTAATTCTTGTGCATATAAATAAAACTACACTTTTATTTAAAACTAAAACTTAAGTTAAAATGAAACATGATAAAATCGGTAGAATTAGAAGCTTCAACTTTGTTGCTCAATTATAATCTACGAAGGGTCTTCAATGTATTCTGAGTATTAGGGTCATTAGTTAACGACACTATCTGAGGGTATAAAAATAAAATTTTGTCTTGATAACTTGATTACTTCTTGTTTAATCTTTAGTCATAGACGACGGGATTGACTGACTGGACAAAGTTGAAAAAATCGAACACCGTGCGGTAATTAAATATCTTACTAAACAAGGAAAAACTTCCATGAAGAAATGGTGGCCGTATACCAAGAGTGCTCCTTCAATGTCGACCATACAGAAGTGGTCAAGTGAATTCAAAAGAGGCAGAGAACGCGTCGAAGATGACCCCCGCCCCAGTGGTTCAATCACAGTGACTACAGAAAAAAATATGAAAATGATTGAAAAACATGTATTACAAGATGCATGAGTAAAAAATAAAATGTTAGCAGAAATAACTAACCTATCCATTACCATACACACCATATTGCATGACTATCTCAACCTTACAAAAGTCAGTGCAAGATGGGTGCTGTAAATGCTCACTGCGCTACAAAAGTAGGCATGGGTTGACTGTTGTAGGCAGTTTTTGGAGCTGTGTGGTGACGACTCAACAAATGTTTTCGATATGATAGTTACAGGAGATGAAACATGGGTTAACCATTATGGTCCTGAGAGTAAACAGAAGTCTATGTAATGGCATAAAAAGGGATCAGACAGATTCAAAGTCACTCAATAGGTCGGGAAAATCATGGCCACAGTGTTTTGGGATTCCAAAGGAATACTATTGAATGAGTACACAAAAAATGTGAAACCATCAAAGCAGACAAATACTCAGCCATTGAGGAGAAGCAATAAATGAAAAGAGAAGAGGAAAGCTGACCAAGGAATTGTTGCTTCATGACAATGCACCGGTTCGCAAGATGCGGCCCTACAAGGCTGCTACTGTTATACAATACGGGCTTGAGGAAATTAACCATCCGGTATACAGCCCTGATTTAGCCCCTAGTGACTACTTTTTATCCCCAAACTAAAAAAGGCCTTCAGGAAAAGTGTTTTGCTGACGATAATGAGCTCAAGTCTAGTTAGTAGTAGTCAATAATAGTTTTTCAAGGGAATAGGAAGTTTTTTTCATGAACAAGTAAATGCATTGATATCATGGGAGACTATATTGGTACATAAAAAATATTTAATGATTTTATCTCTTTTTCAACATACCCATACCGAGAATACATTGAATGCCCCTAGTAAATATGTAACCTCAACTAATCATTCTTTGCATTGAAATCACTTCTAGCAGGATATTATAAATTTCTTTATTATTACTTACATAAATTACTTTTACTACTTATTAATTAGATATTTTTTTCAACTATATTTTAATAACTTTGATTATGATTTCTGTAATCTATTTAAACTACAGTGGTAGATAAAACAATTTAATTTTTTTTGTAATTTTATTTCAGCAATATGACCAGAAAAATATTCGGCGAAGGGTATATGACGCTCTAAACGTTTTGATGGCAATGAATATTATATCGAAAGAAAAGAAAGAAATTAGATGGCTAGGCCTTCCAACAAACTCAATACAGGAGTGCACAGCACTAGAGAAAGAAAAACAAACCAAATTAGAACAAATACAGAAGAAAACTCAACAATTACAAGAGCTTATTCTGCAGGTACTATTTATTTTCATATTTCTAACTACAATCGGTTGTAATGGCGGTTGTACACTCACTAGAGTGCTCTCGCAAGCTCTCGCTCAATCGCACTAAAAGCTTGTTTCCGAGTGTGACCATCTTTAAAGTACAAGGAGTAGAGGATATACGAAAGTCGATGCTACTGTTGCTCAGTAAGGTAACTACATCTTATAAAGGCCAGGTTTTTGGAAATCCGTATAAATCAATTTTGGGAAGTGTTTAATTTGTAAGACATCATGATCAAATAAACTGTTTTTATTTGAAGAGACAATAATGTGCAAAAACAAGGCATCAATGGCCAGTTATTTACAAAAAAAGTTCTTTAAAAGCTTGTCTATGGTCCTTGTTGAGCACTAGGGCTCTAAATAAGATCCATAAATTAACTGCAAGGTTTTAGGCGTTGTATACCAGAAAAAACATCTTTAGAAAGCAATGGCTTTAACCTACTATTAAGTTCATGGCTTTCTATTAATGAAACGGTAATTTATATAAATTAGTATCGTGGCCCTTATTAGGTCTCAGGAAATGTATATAACCAATCTATTTTCTAGTTGTAAATGAAACAAATCGTAGCTTTGTGCTGATTTTTATTAACTCTAGTACACAAAATGTTACTAATCGGTCACTTTGTCAGTCTTAGTCCTTGGTCCTTATTAGGTATTACACTTCTGTAATCATAGTCTGGACCTTTTTTATAGAACGAGGCAAATGAGCATACGGTTCACTTGATGTTAAGAAACTACCGGAGCCCATGAACAACCGCAACTCCAGGGGAATGCAGGTGCGTTACTGGCCCTTCAGAAAGCAGTAAGCTCTTTTTTTAAAGGTCTCCAGGTCGTATTGTGGTAAATTATTCCACAGAGAGGTTGTACTCGGAAGAAAACTCCTAGTGAAATGTACAGTGGTGGACCACCAAGCATCCAGATGGTGTAGATGGTATCGCAAGTTTTGTCGCGATGTGCGTGTATAATTGTGCGTCTGAAATTAGTCCGTACAATTTTTCAGAGCACTCCCCGTGGTAAATGCGATAAAATACGCAAAGAGATGCAACATCTCTTCGCAGCGCCAGTGAATCAAACCGATCGCAAAGCACTCGGTCATCGACGATTCGAGCCGCCTGCGCTGGATGCGGTCAAGTGGTAGGAGCTGGTACTGGGGAGCCCCAGCCCAGAGATGGGAACAGTATTCCATGTGCGGCCGAACCTGCGCCTTGTAAAGGTGCAGGCGGTATGCCGGCATGAAATACTGTCCCGCTCTGCTGAGCACGCCAAGCTTTTTAAAGGCCAATTTTGTTGTGTCAACGCCGAGGATTCCGATAATGGCTGAGGCGACAAGGGGTGTGCCTTGAAACTGAACAGCGACAAAGGGGTTCTTTTTAGCGGTTAACGTGCAAACTTGTGTCTTCTGAGGGTTAAACTGGACTAGATTTAGTCGCCCCCAATCCGAGACTTTGTTCAGCAAAGACTCGACTTCAGACACAAGTTTGTCCCGGCACTCGGAGACATTTTCCCGTGAAATTTTGTCACGACCGGTGTACAGAGCATCACCAGTGCTGTCATCTGCATAGCAATGAATGTTACGAGTTTGCAACATCCTCTGACTTGGAAAACAGGCAAGTAAAGCCGAGAAATACCGATGCGAAGCGAAAGCTTCCATCTACATTCGCTTCTTGTGTTGTTTTACCGAGAGTACATCCGCCATAAGGATAATGATGTTGATATTTTACTGATACTGATGTTGATATTTTACTTTTAAGAAATTATACAAAATTAGCTTTATAATAGATTTTGAAATCTTACTTTTTTCAAAGAAGCTTGTTTAATCTTTCAGCATATATCATTCAAAAGTTTAATAGAAAGAAATAAAGAAACAGAAAAAAAGGGTGTGAAACCATCACCATCATCAGCCATTCACTTACCATTCATAGTTGTAAATACAAGTGATAAAGCATTGATAGACTGTAGTATATCTAATGACAAGTAAGTTATATTTATAATATATTTAGTTATTAAGCCTTTACTACAGGTAAATTACTGTTGTCATAAAGCTAGTTTTAAGTTTGATATCTTGCATTGAAAATTAAAATGAATGACATATAAAACTCAGACATTGCTTTAAGTACGAGTTCTATCATAGTATTAATGATGCACAGATAGCATGCTATATGCAATTTTTGATTGTATGATGTTTCTACATTGTTTGTTCTAATTCTGTTACATATTAGTGATCTTTATTAATAAATTTTATCAAAAACATAATATTAAGTTCAAATTTTCAGGACAGAATATATGTTTAACTTTAACAAGAGGTTCCAGATACATGATGACATAGATATATTAAAAAGGATGGGTCTTCTGTTTGGTGAGTTATAAACATATATATAATTTCTACTCAATAACAGAGCCGTGGTAGCTCAGATGGTTAGCGCTCGCTGTAAATTTCACAATACGCGAGCAAACCGGGTTCGATCCCCGCCGGCACCAATGAAATTGTTAATTGCAATTTTAAGTGCTGATTTACCACGGGCTCGGCGGTGACGAAAAACATCGTGAGGAAACCTGCATGTCCGAGAAATAAGAAAAAAAATATATCAAAGACATGTGAAAGTTCGCCAACACGCATTGGGGCAGCGCGGCGGACTATTCCTTGCCTTAACACCCTCTCAGAAATGAGAGGAGGCCTGTGCCCAGTAGTGGGACGTATATAGGCTGTAACTTTACTTTACTTTACTCAATGACTATAGAATTATATTGTTGATCAGGGTTTCGTCCAAAAATAAAGATAAATCTCTTCTACACTGAGATCAGTCTACTTACTGCCTATATAGATACTTGTAAATCTAATATTTCCAGCAATATGCTTCTTGTTCTCTTTAAACATAGAAATTGCTGGCACAATAATATAAACAATAATTACTAAGTTTGTAACGATGGCTACATGCCTCCAATCAACGACTACACAGCCCGAAAGACGCCACATGCAAGTCGAACACTTTCTGTCAACACGTTAGACAAATACGTCTGACTTAAGAAAAAGATCCGAACGTCTACATCCTTGACCCGTGAACATCTTGCTTGTGACTCGTGAATTTTCGACAAAATAAAATACAACAGACGCGCAACATGCTTCACTGTATAATAAAATAGTGCGGAAAAAGTAGCCAAATGTGTAATTAAAAAAAAAGGCTTCACTTTTCATAGATAAGTAAATTTTAATTTCCAAATTCATTAGTTAAAATTAAATCAGAGCTCAACCTATATTTGTCTCAAGCAACTCGCGTTGATTTGTCCAGACATCTTCGGATATTTTCGGACTATGCATCCCTTTCTTTTCGATGCAGTTCATTGTTGCTATACTTTTCTTTAATTACCGGCACGTGTAACTAGTGCTGTACCAGTTAAACTATAATATTTGTACAAGTAAAGATTATGCATGTTATCGTGAATGTTTTACAGACTTATACTATAAGGACATAGGTGTAAGCTGAATTTTTTTAGTGAATGTACGGTTATCCATATTTGAATTAATTGATTTAATAATTAAATCAAATTATTCAAAACTTCTTAAAAAATTTCACTCCGCTCTCTTTACTGCTAAGACGCCATGTCAAGACAAGTAGGAAACGGAAGTGAACTTGACAATTTAAATAACTGTGGCTATTTTATTTTTAATAGTATTCTATTATTATTTCCGTATTGTAGAGAAAGCTTGTTTTATTAAAAATATTCTTTAAAACAAAAAATTATAGGTATTTTACTTAAATAAAACTTCTTTTGTATTTTTTATTTTTATTTTGTACCAATTTATAGTAGAATATAATTCTATACTGATTAAGTAGACTTGGTACCAAATTTATTAGTTAAAGTTCCCATCACTATTTGCTTCGCAACCTTGATTTAAACCGTTTAGCGTGCATTTCAACCTGCCTCCCCTGTAACGCTTACCTCAGACTTTTGACAGACAGGTTTGGATGCAGAAGTACATACATTAGGCGTTTATTCGGGCTGTGTAATCGTTGTCTCCAATCAACTTTATTGCTATGTTATTTATTAATAACTGTTATTATAAACTGTTTAAAAATGATAACAAACAATTGAAATATTCCAAATTTATAATTTTCTTTTTACTTATTATAAGCCATTGTACGACTACAGTCCATAGTGATGGTCATAGAAAGTTCTAGAGCCCTAAATTGCAGTGTTAGACACTATACTACACTATATATAGCATAACAAAGACTTATACAATCTTGCCTTAAATACATCCAGATTACAATCGGACGGAAATACAGACCGCTGGCAAATTATTCCACTCCTTTGTTGTACACATTGTGAAAGACGAAGCTAACCATTTGGATCGAATGAAAACATCGACAACAAAGGTGTCTGATGGCAGAAAGGAAAGGAATGAATTAAACCATCTAATTTCTGTGCACACTGTTGAACACTGTGAGGGTACTCTGTGCCTGTGCTCTAAGCAGACAAGATTGATTTCAACTAACTTTCTTTATAAGCCTCTTAACACGCCTCCATTGAGTCCAATGCTGCCAGGTGACATTTTTAATACCACCCCACATGTGGCAACAGTAATCCACGCATGATCTGACTTGCACTTTATCTGGGGTAAGATGCTGTCCTGACATGAAGTACTGCTGCTCCTTTTCAACGAAAACTAGTTGCCTTATAATGTACAACTTTTTCGTATCTACATAGAACATTGAGCTGTCAAATATACGATATTTTTTTACAGGGTTAGACAAGGGAGAGTGTACAGAAGACGATCTAAATAAAGTTAAAAATATGGTACCAAAATCATTGGAAGTATATGTGGAACGTAAGTAACTGATGTTAGGCTATCCTTTTCTACAGTTCCTTAGAAAATAATGTTTTTTTTTTATTTGTGTTCATGCAGTGGAGATCAATAGTTAAGATTAATCTATTATTAAAATGCTACAAATATGTTTTACTGAATTAGTGTTGTTGGCACAATCACTAAAAGAATTATGTCCAGTCTTGACCTGAAAATTTTCTAACTTATCCAGTGATGTAAAATATCTTATAAAATTGCATATTTCGTATCGCATAATTAAATTTTCTTTATCATTCTAAATAGACTTATGGAGACGTGTTTTACAATGGATCAAAGACCCAGAAGCCATGCCGAAATATATAAAAAAAACGTGTTTTACATGTTCCGTTTCAGACTACACAAAAACTTGTTCATTCGTCATGTGGTGTATGATGAATGTTCAAAATAACCAATTGCTTTTTTTATAACTTGTTAATTTATGATTAGATACGATTTTTATGGTTTTATACTATGGTATGGAAAGAAAAATAAGTGTTCAGACCTAATCTGACAGCTCTCAAAAATTTATTAACTTAATAGCATTTTTCCCTGGCCTCTAAATTAAAAGATGATAAGTTATTATGTTATAGTAACCACCAAGAATAATCGTTTTTATGCAACAGTAGTTGTAGGTAGACGCGATCTGTTAAAGGAATTAACTGACAGGTCAATTAATGTATGGAAAGTGGGCATGATTCTTTCGTAAGGAGTTAGAGTACAACACATAGTATAATTTGATGCTATAATAAAATAGACAATTATGGAATCAATTCCACAGTTTGCATTTGTCATAGACGTTTTTCTTAAATACTATTTTTTTAAATACCTAGATAATTTGAAAAATACTGCACAGTTATGTTTACCAAAAAACAAATGTGATGTCCAAATTTCGAATATTCGACAATAATTATGTGGGCTTAAAAGTTTCATAAAGCACCATGTCAAAAATTTATAGATTGATCAGAAGATTCAGAAGCGCGTTGCTTTTTTTTTTTTTTGCAATTTACTTCCATTTTTTTTCCGGATAAACACTCAAATTTACTGCATAACAGAAGGAAAATTGTAAAAGAGGTGTAGAATAAATCAAAATTATCCATGATTTACGCAAGGTGCGCAAATGCACTTTATTTTTTGATAGAATCAAGCGTTACTTTGCGGAAATCCATTATAATAAATATATTAATGTTTACTTTGCAACCATCCGCTCTATTAAATACAATGATGTGCCTTACCTAGATTGAAGAGCACCTCCCGCCCTCCCACAGCGTGCACTAATTCCGTCACCACTAATCCCAGCACCACTACTATTTATTTGATTGATTGGATTAACGATGTAGTCTATATGAGCGTACTCAAAGGCAACCCGGTGCGACGCGACTACGTTTACCTTCATAAGCGGAGACAATGTCATGACCGCGAATATCATGAACAGATAAGGAGTTTTAATAGAAAAATCGGAATCTTAAATATGTAAAATATTAGCGATGAATCAGATACCGATACACATATAACTGAGATATTTAAGATTTACTGATATTTCGATGTAGGTTAGGTAACTTTATAACCGCGTCTAAAACCAAACAATGTTTCGGAACTTGAACATTTTCAGTTACTTGATAATAAGTGTTCAAGGGATGAATGAATTAAGGACATCATAATACGATAGGTAGTTCTCAATACAGCTGGCACTGTATGAAAGTTCCAGTAGCTTAAATTCTGTATTTTTAACTGGCTTAAAAATCTTTGTATGTTTGAGATTATCTTAACATCTCTGCTGAACCTATTTTTCAGTTATGTCATATACATTTTTAGAAATATATATTTATTATATATAATTAGAAATAAAGATATATTTTTAGAAAAAAATTGGTATTTATATAATTCATTAGGATATCGATATTATTAAAATTAATATAATATAAAAACACGCTTTATAACAATTATGATACTAACCAATTAAGTATATATTAATGGAAATTGGGTAAAAAAAATATTTTCCATAAATATATTTTTTTTTCTTTTTTACTCATCTGAAATGTTGTAATGATTCAAAAAAATCAAACAAAGCTAAAAACTTATTTGAAATTTTCTAAATTCATTGAGGTAACGAATTTTCTATAGTGTTAAATATAAAAATGTTTATATTGTGTAAAATGGGCGGCGCTACACATCGAATATAAACACGACGGGTTCAAAGCACAGAGACTGGAAGTAGTTGATAGCTTCGGCTTACGGGAAACCCTCGTCGTAAGGCAAATCCTCCTACAATGGCGAATGGCCATCTCCAGCTGTGTACTTTTACAGGCTCATGAAAGAGATCTTATACCTATAATAGACAAATCGAATAAACACATAATTTTCTTACAGAAATGGGAAGAGGTGATAGCACTCTTAGTAACTTATTAGAAGAGAAAGAAATTGAAGAAGCTGAAAACGAAGATGAAACTTTAGATGAAACAGATGTAAAAGACGAGCAGGAAGAAGATGAGCGTAACGAATACAGCGAAGACAGTAGCGATGTGGACGTCTAGCGACCACAGCTCGCGCTTCACGGCGCGAAGCAAACACCGCACGGTTTATAAGAAATGGATGTTACTAGCTATTACTGATTATCTGAGCATGATATGTGTCATTACTTGAATTACTTCGACGCAATGTATTGCAATGCGCACACAGACATGACACTTGAATTTCTTATATGTAAAGTATATTTGTACATGTAGTATACGTAAATATATGATTACATTGTTATAATTATCATATTTTTCATATTGTTGTAATGACACATCTCATTAGCTTCGGATTATTGTTGCTGAATTGGTGTTATTTATAATAGGTTGCTTCACTATTCCTGTTTCATGTTTGAGTTATGTATTTTGCTTTAAGTCTATTTGATATCGTACAACAGGCAACATGATAATAAATAACACATTTTATGTGAATTACAAAATTAATGTAATAATTGAAGTGTATTCAGATGTCATAGAGAGCTTAAATAGCCCTAATCCAATCAAGCAGTGAATGGCATAGGATGCTGATGGATATAGTCTTTTATGGAAAATATTGCTACTTGATTTGTCGTAATATATGTCTATTTTTAGTAAATATTATTTATAATATTGATTTAGAATTGTTTTAAAGAGGAGAAAATAAATTTCTCAAGACATAAAAATAGTTATTTTTATTTTATTTTATTAAAAAAATGCTTGTCATCAACTACATTTTCATATCACTTTAAATCATCGTCGTCAAACAAATCTTCGAAATCTGAAACAAAAACATTTGTTTATTAGCAATTCCACCGTTATGAAGCTTTACCTTATGTACAAAGAACAGTAAGTATGCACATGTCAGACTCATGTCTGATTGTTTTTAGATTAGGAAGAGTCCACCGCGTTGCTCTAATGTGTGTCGGCGAATCTCACAAATACTTAGGCATAATGCAGGTTTACTACCAGTGAGAATCATTATCTTTATTCGAAATTAAAGACTAGATCTTATTTTATTACATAATGTACAAGTAAATATACTTAAATGTTCACGTAAACCTACCCATATTCGATGTAACAATGTAATGTTACACCAGTAAAGCTCACCACTGCGAGCTAGACTTCTGTTGTGAAAAATTATTTCATTTTGACCAAAAATTTTAAACAACAAAAAAAAACAAAAACAGAACCAAAATCCCAAAATTTTTGTTTAATTTTTTTATTTAGGGCCAAGCAATACAACAAAATATAAAAAAAGGTTTAAATCTTATTGGATCAGATGAGATATATCAATTTCACTGCTGATACAGCTCCAGACTGCCAAAAACAAATATTGTAATGCCTTAATGGGACACAGCTCGTTTTTTGTGGAAAAAATACAGCTTGTCTAGTAACCTTTAATTTACATAAGGTGGAATACCAACATTTTACTGTTCACAATATTAAATTTGTTAAGCATTAATAAAAACGAATATAAAAACAAATTCTCAAATATAACGGGACAGCACAAACATCTTACTGTTCACAATATTAAATTTGTTAGGCATCAATAAAAACGAATATATAACACATTCTCAGATATAGCAGCATAGCACAGGTATTCATTGAAATCCCCACGGAACCAGAAGCATACCGAAGGCATATTTTGATCTGTGATTGACCGCCAAGGGTTTATCCCGGCTTAAAGAATAGTCCTAAATCCTAATTACTTGTTTGAACATGTAGTGGCATGCCGAAACCTGCTAAAGAAGTATCCATATGACAATATCAAAGATGTACTAGTGTTAAAGGTAACAAAATGAGAATTTGAAATTCAAATTTACTAAAATCTGTACTATCCTCGATTAGTGAGCGTCGACCATAACTTAAAAAGTAAACTTCCATCCACTTCCATCTATCTATACTACACTTCGATCCATGGTCTCGATAAACAAATGTCTTATATGCTATCAGTCAAGTCGTTCAGAAGTTACACGATAACTATGAGGTGCAGCAACGGTTATTATTATAAAGATATATTATTTAACTTTATTTTTCATATTACCGATTAAATCTTATCTAATTAATTACTATGTAAAGCCGGCTATACATGTTGACCGAGCGAAAGGGAGCACCAACGTATAGACAGCCCATTTGTCCAGCCTCGACATTGCTCGTCGAAGCTCGCCTAGCTAGCCGAGTGAAGGCGAGCGCCAACGTGTATTATACGGTTTGTTTGGCGTGCCTGCTGCCACTCGGGATCGCTCGCTACAACTCGTCCACTTCGGAATCGTGTCGGTTTTTCTACACAAATCAAAAGCGCTCGCCTGCACTCGGCAAGTCGCGTCCACACTCCACATGTTAGTCGGCCATGTCAGTTACAGCTTGGCGCCCGTCCCGGTGAGATATTGATTTAAGACAACTTTAAATAATTTCGTCAATGTCACTATACTAACGAGGACATCTTTGAGTTTTTTAACTTTACTGCAGAGTACACTGACATAATAATTATATGCACTCATTAAATAAATAGCAGAAGCTGTAATAACTTTTACGTCGTCCATATCGTAAAAATTCTCAATGACGACTAACTACGGCCAACATGTGGATAGCTCCACAAAAACTCGTGAACATAGGCCTTGGCATTGGCTTTTTTCGAACCAACGTGTAGACCGTAGCACTCGCCTTGTATCAATTTGCCTACGCTCGCGATGGCTGAGGCTTAGACAACATGTATTGCCGGGGTAATAAATATAAAAGCGAAAGCATGCCCGTGGTCCTGCCAATATGCGACGAAGGTGGGACACCATGGGGTTTTAGTAGTCGGTGCGAGTCCGACATAACCCGTTCTCGCCCCCGCGAGGCGAGTATGTGTATGCGATGAGGAGGCATTTCCCAAAGGAAAAAAAAGATAGACCGCTTAAATGTATAATATCTATAGTAACAACCACTATTATTTTTGAAAAACATGAAATACCTAGTTATAATTTGAAACACAGTGGGCTACTTTTGTAGCAGACAACAGAGTTCTTCGATCACTTATAATGTATTAATAAATAAATAAATGTATTATTTACAGCAGACACTACATAACCAACGTGTAATACTGAACTAGGACGCGCGCGATGAATAGCGCGCGCTGCTATATCAAATTTGCTAGCCGGCAGCCAGGCGCCAGCACCGTTGCTAGAGCTAGTTCCCGCGCGCGTTCGCGCGATATTCATAGCGCCATAGCGGCTACGTACATAGCACGCGCTAACTTCTCATAGCGCACACGCTAACCACCACTAATTAAAACCACCCACAGTGAGAGCTCATGTAAACATCACTATCTTTTGTAGTATTGTATATATAATACCACTATTGGATCAAAATTTGTGTCTGAGGGGTGTTCACTCATGGGGTTTAATGGTAAGACTCACTGAAGATCATGAGCATATTAACCTGAAAACAATTTATTAAATATCGTCATATTTTATTCACACGTACCATTAAAAAAATCTGCATGAACAGCTTTTTCATTAGCAGCCAAGTCCATTAAAAGGTTTGATGGTCCACCTGCCTGGCAAAATAAATTGTATGTAATTGTTTCTTATTCACAAGCCTTACTTAAAGAACAAGATGTACATACACAACATATATTTGCTGTATGGCCTATATTCTACAGATTTTTGATGATTCAAAACTCTATGGAACTTAAAATTTACTTCGATTAATTCTACAATGGATAACTTGGTGTAATATCCTAGTGGCCAATTTTCAAGCAAGACAACTTTTGAATAATTTCAACTATACTGGAGAAATTCATGGTGCCACAAGAACACACACAAATAGACACTCATTCACCTTAACGTATGCATGAAAGTTAAGATGCAGAATTGGAGAAATGGGTACAATCGAATTACAACCATGCCAGTTTACAGGGATAGTTGTAATTCGATCAACAATTTTTTTTGATGTACATGTGGGTCAAACTTCCATCAATAATGAGTTAATGATATTGCTTGTAACATTAAATATATCTTATGATCATCATTTTCTTATCACAGCCCTTCAAAAAACCCCTACTGAACATAAGCCTCCCCTGAGGAATGCCACAAAGCACATTTCTGAACCACCTGTATCTGTTCTACTTCTTGCAAGTCTTACCAAGTCATAACTCCATCTAGTGAAGGAACACCCTATACTTTGTCTACTAGTAGTACGAGGTTGCCCCTCATGAACCTTTCTTCTATTATTTGATTTCATCAGATTATTTGTCCCAGGTAAACATACTCATCAAAAACTTTGAGCTTAGTGCTCCCAACAACCACCGGCATAAGTGTGACATGGACATTACACATGACTAGGGCCCGGATTAATATCTAAATCCATATTTTTAATTGAAGTGGTTTTAGTTCTTAAATATATTTTGTACATAAATTATGATATTTTGATCAAGAAAATGCAATTTCTATTTTCCATATTTCAAGTATAGATCCATATTTCACAAGACATTAAATAAATTTATCCATATCTTCATTTTTTATGTTAGACGGATCAGCAGCTCTTCTCTGCTTCTGCTTCTTCAAAATCTATATCCACCGAGCAACGTTTTTTGATATCGCAACACGTGTCTTCTGGTGAAATACAAGCGAAATATTACAACAAAGAATAAATTTAAACAACAATTTTTTACAGATGCAGTCGCAAGCAGCTGCCAAAGTTCTACTTTCTCGAAAGAATTATGTGAAGCAATGATATGTGCAGATATACCCTTATGGAAATTGAATAATCCTATTTTGAAAGATCATTCAGCCAGTACAAAGCATTATTTTGTCCAAACAGAAACGGTTTTAGTTTTGAAAATTTAAGGAAAATTCAAATAATAATGAAACAGAAGCTAAGTGAAATTGTATTTTTTTTTTTGGTTTTTCTTAATAAAGAATCGTCTTAATGTACAACGTCATTATCTTTTATTACACATATTTTTCCCATATTTTGGGATTTTCAGTCCATATTATATGTACATATTTTGATATTTTCTATACATATTAATCCAGGCCCTACACTTTCGTTTTGTC